CCCCGCGATTGGCATCACGCTACTTCCATCGATAGGATGAGCAAATCGAATGAATCTTCCACTAGAACATCGAAATATACACTACTACTGGCAGTGTATATTTCCATGTTCTAGTGGTAGATTCGTTCAATTTTGCTCATCCTGTCGATGGAAGTACCCTCTCTCTCTCTCTCTCACACACACACACACACACACACACACACACACACACACTCACAGACTCACACACTCACACACGTACGTGTAGCAGGAACAGCAGCGGGAGGAGGACCAGGGGCAGAAGGAGGAAGAGTGGAGGAGCAGCAGGAGGGGGAGCCGAAGAAGGACGATCCATCATCTGTTGTCGTTAAGCAGTGTGAAACGGAGGACGCGAGAGAGAGAGAACATCAGTCCCTCCAGAGACAGAAATGGGCAAGGGGCTGGGGGGCATGCTTTAAGTGGGAACTGCGTGCTCCTGGGGAAAGGGGGTTAGAGGGTTGGTCCTATATTGGGGCCGAGGGAGAGTGGGCGACTCACCTTGGCGGAGGCAGTGTAGGGCTGAGGGGGGAGGGGTAGGGGGAGGGAGGGGCGATCTCTCTCGAATAAGTCTATCAACCAGTTTACTATTTCTTTCCATTTGGTTTGCCTCTCGAAGAAGTTGTAGGAATAGGTGCTATTTGGCAAGTCATCTGTGATCCTGCGAAGGGTGGTTGCCAATTCGGTGGCCCTCGAAGACCGATGCTGGAGCAACGCTGGCCGGAGCCGGAGCCGGAGCCAGTTGGCGCAACTCTGTGACCTAGCTTAGTGGGGGCGTGAGGCCTGGTAGAGAGCTCTGGGGGGCTGTTTGCGGGGGCAGTCTCAGTGGTCATCGGGGGTCGTAACTGGAGCAATGCTGGCCGGTGCTGGAGCAAGGTGGTGCAACTCTGTAACCTAACCTGATGGGAGCATGAGGCCTGGAAGAGCTTCAGTTCGTGCTGAAAACAGCCATGGTGGTGGTGGTCGTAGGTGGATTGAATAGGTTTCATCTATCTGATTCATGGTTGGGAGGCTTTTTGACACACATATTCTAGTAACTTGGTAGAGCCTGAATAGCGGAAAAAAAGTCGGTTGTTCTTATGACTGTCTTAGGACTCTAGGGGCCCTTAGCAACCCATCTTAGGCGGTTTCGATGTTGTTATACTCAGTGATCTGCGGCTGTTCGATGCCAGAGCGACGCTGGCTGGTGCTGGGGTGTTGCCCTGTAACCTGCTGATGCCAGAGCGTGAGGTCTGGGGATGCTTTGGGGTGGGCATCCCAAGGGACAACCAAGGGTTGCCGCTGGGACGACGCTGGTCGGAGCTGGGGCCAGTTGTGTTGCCCTGTAACCCAGCAGGGTGGGGGCGTGAGGCCTGGAAGAGCTCAGCAGGGAGTAAGACTGTGTTGGAAAGTCTTAGAAGGGCTTGTTAGGGATCCTGAGGGCTGTGAACATTCGTAGGACCTCTATGACAGCCTATTGCATGAGTAGTTCCTTAATAGGTCATTAGATATTCATGATCCTCCCCATGCTTTCTGAATCATACCGTGTTCACAGACTGTTCTCAGCCAAAGCCGGGAAATGGCCCCTGTATCTCAAATGATCTCAAATGTTCTCAATGATCTGTGCAATTCGATATGGGACGCTGGGCCCGGTTCCCAGCACGTGCTGCTCCCCTCGAATAGACTGGAGCATTTGTTTTCAAAAAAAAAAAAAAAAAAAAAAAAGTACCGTAGGTTTACTGATGTACCACATAAATAGTAATTCAGACTTCCAGTGACAAAAGTTTTTCCGATTGATTCCGGTAAAGAGTGTAAAGATTGTAAAAAGGAAATTTGTTTCAGGGGTAAATACGCAAGATAGTGATGCAAAGTCGTGGCAGTAATGTAGGTATTTTACTTCACTCAGGTCATTTTAGCGATAGATCAATTAAATGACACAAATAGGGTTAAATAAAGCAGAAGTGGATTCGAACCACAAACAACACGTGTTATCATATTATTGACTAATTAGGTTTCGTAAAGTAATTGATACAAGAATAGGACAGCAAAAAAAAAACAAGAGTAGATATCCCATGAACACAAAGATCTTCAGTCCTTTTACGAGAACTCGAGCAGCGACCAGGGTGCCCAAGAAAAAAGGTGGGGAGGGGTATAGGAGTGATTCCAGTAAAAAGACTGGAAGACAAATTTATTTTCAGGGGTATAATGGGGTATATAGTATATACTATATACTATATATGCAAAATAATACTAAAAAATAGTGATGCAATGCGATCACATCATCACAGTACTCTACGTAGTCATTCTATTTCTCAAAAACTACTCCGTAGTACTAGACTATACAGGGTACCCTTGCACGCATAGCATAGCTTTCTCAGTTTCTACCTCTCACAATCAAGGGGATGCACAGCCCTCTAGTCCAGTCCTTTTACTCGACTTGGTCGTTTTAGTCATGGATGCGTGAAATTGCGAAGCAGGTTGAAGAAGTGGATTCAAATTCCAAATTTCGAACCACTGAGACAAGGATTTTCAGTCCTTTCGCAAGCAGCTGAACGGCAAAGAAAGTGCTCGACGAAGACGCATAAGCACAAACAGCAGACGAAGAAAGGTCACTAAAAATGCAATGACGTTATGTCCTAAGCACAAGCACAAACAGCACGTAATCCAAGGTCACTAAAATTTTTAAAATGCAATGACGTTACGGCATATAAGCACAAGCACAAACAGCACATAATGCAACGTCACTCGAAATTTTAAAATGCAATGACGTTATGGCGTAAGCACAACAACACCTGTTGTTTTCTTTCTGAATGATGCACATCATGCAAGGTCGTTAAAACGGCGACGACGTTATGGCATAAGCACAAACAGCACATAATGTTTTCTTTCTTCTGTTTCATTCAGAAAGGGCACCGCACAAAGGCACAAAGACGTGGCAGATCAACGCTGGTTTCGTTCGTTCCGTGTGTATTATCTTACTATTATGGTGACAAGAAAAACAGCATTATGCTCAGGGGATCTCGAGTCTCGACTACGAGGGAGGGAAGAGGAAAAAGGAAGAAATCCAGAAAATAAAACAAAAGAAAAGAACACCGACGTACAGCAAGACCGGCGACAAACGAATCTCTTGTACACACGCCACATTATGGACCACGTACTTTCTGCGAATGACAGAGGAAAAAAACAAAGAAAGAGAGGTCAACAAATGAAAAGAAGACAGGGCCGTAATCTGCCGATGACGAAGTAACAAAAAACAAAGAGAGAGATATCAACAAATGAAAAGAAGACAGGCCCGTAAAGCAGATCGAGACCAAGGAATGATGGGAAGACGAGTACGTTCACACAGCCTTTCCAAAGCATGAACGGCGTAAAAAAAAAAAGAAAAAAGAAACTTCCGCTTTCTTTCTGTGTGTGCTCGTGCTTGCCGGTGATAAGCAACCGGAGTGACACCCGCCAGACTAGAACCTTGAGATCATTT